TGGTCTTTCATTACCTTAAAAAATATAATTAATTATTGAGTTATTATTATAGATTTAGTTTTTCTTTTTAAAATTTTTAATTATAAAATCTAGAACACTAAGCATAATAGATGTAAAAAGAGCAGATTGACAGAAAAAGAATCTTCCCACTAGAGGAACTTCGACAAAGTTAAATAAAGACATATTTCACATTTCTTTGTATATAACTAGCAGAGAAAGATAACAACATTTTATTGAATTTATGTGTACTGTTTTTGTTATGATCTTTAACTCTTTAGATATCCAGCAAAATAATAGATTTAAAATGATATTGCATAAGTGACGGATCAAAAAAGGTCAAAATGACAATAAATTAGAAAAACAAGGTATAATAATAATCAACTATATTTTAGGAAGCGACTACTTACATTAAAACGATACTAGCCTTGAAGGTCATTTTATTAGATTTTATGAAACGATAAGATAGTTGGAGTGGAATAGAAAATGAAGATATTGTCAAAATAATCATAAATACAAATATACTTGAAATTAAATCAGTTATAATCGGCAGCCAGTTATTATAATCAACTTAGAAGAGCATAACGTTATGTTAAGGGTACTACTGTTGTTGGTCTCTTTTATACAGCATGAGTATAAGAAATCCATTTAAAGGGATATGTTGATATCTTTGATCTACCTTTGAGTAATTAATTAAAATATTTGGATAGACAGTATGTGGAAATATAACTATGTATATACATATTATTTGGAAATAGTAAATTTAAAGACATAACATGCACAAATGACCTGAAAAAGTGGCTGTTCATTTACGAATCGTCAAGATTTAATATTTTTGTTATTTAAAAAATATTAAGAATACCTACTTATTTGTTAGATTATATTTATAATTTTTTTAGAAAAAATTTTGAGACCAGTGAACTCCCATGTAGAGGTACGTGTAAAAATTAAATAATTACCTGTCATTATCGGCGAAACGTTCATAAAAGCAATCGTTATTAAAATGCAGAGAAGCTTCATAATGCTGGACAATATAGTTCAAACAATTCAAATAATAGAACTTATTAGTAAGATATAAATTATTATACTAGGTTTTACTTTTTGTGTTACAGCGATTTTCTTGCAACTAGTCGTATGGTCAGTGTTTTCGATATATCAAGTAAAGAAGTAACACTAAAATGTTATTTTTCAGTATGCATAGCACTATAATAACTCATGAAAAACGTTAGCGGTACTAATAAAATACCGAATACAATATTCCGTCAATGTCTATGTACTACACAGCCATTTGTACACATTGTTTTTACACTTTAACAACGGCTATCGCATAGGCTATGTATACATATGAAAATTTAAAATCACTGGGAAAACGCAACGGAAAAAAATTCTTTTAGAAAAAAAGTTTAAACACGTAAACAAAAATTTAATATATAATGTTTGTTTTTGATCTTACTACCATTCTGTATAGTACTTATATTCTTAAATATACAGGGTCATTCACAGTTTCTGTAACAGCGGAAATTTCGATAAAATACTTATACTGGGCAAAAATTACCAAATAAAAATATATGTTTAACTTACATGTTACGTATTATTTTAATTTTCAAAAATGTTTAAACTCAAATTTAAGGGGAAATTAGAGGGGTAACTTTAGAAACTCAAATAGCAACATTTGAATTAATCGTTTTGGTTAAGAAATCTTTAGCCGATTAAATATTTACTTCATTTGAGTGTTTTGTACCTACTTAGATACAATGCTCTTAATTTTGAGTCGGGAGAAATTTTTATACGCAGATATTATGCTACGACTGTCAATCGAAAAGAAAACCTACATAATAATTTACTATCATAAAATTGTTATTACCGTTATTACTTATCTTATCATATTTATATTACCTGCCTAGTACCTGTTAAATGGTTTGGCAGTCGATACGGTTATTATTTTTAAATACTTTTATTTGTATTTGATATTAGAGTGAACTCGTGGTCGACCACAGGCATAAATAAAAACTTGATATTACTTATGACAGATTATTTTTTATTAACTCGAGTTGTGTGATCAGAATTTATTAGTTCAAAGATAGGACTTCAAGGACAAATAAATTACTTAAATAATATGGATGCTTGCGTATCCGCTTCGTTGACTAAGCCAAGGCACTCATCGTCAAGTCTATATCTATGAAATGATAGGTGAAATATCTCTTTAACTTGTAAGCAATACCTAGTATTAAACACTAATATCCACATCTTTAATTTGATTTATTTAATTTTTTTTTTACCTTAAACATTAGAAATACAATTTTTATTGACCAAAAGAACTGGATAATTGCTATTACAATCAAATTTGTCTAAAGAAATTGTGAGGAGAGGCAGTACTAACAGTCACTTACCTAGAAAATCTACAACCAATTATAAATGTATTATTTGAGTGGTAAATTATAGTGATGGCTTTGATTATATTAACACTTATGCGCCTGTCTTCAACCATAGTGACTGTTGGCACATGACTGGCACTAGCAGTACACAATAATTTATGGAGTTACAATATAATATTATATTGTATTGTGGGCAGATAATGTTATTATTTCAATTTTCTACTTTACAATGCAATGGATATAATTTAATAAAATTGCAAGTGGTTAAGTGTATTAAAGAAATTGTTTATTATGTAGCACATTAAATTAAATGACAGTTTAGATACAAGTGCGATATATAAATATTATTTAAGTAAAATAACAATAGTATGTGCAATATATTTGTTTAAAAACTAGCTACGATTGATGGTCTATTTTATTGGAACCAATTGTGTATCTCATCTAAAACCTTTACAAGCTGTCCATCATAAGTAGGACCCCTTTGCCTTACTACAATTTAGATGTTAAAAATTCTGTAATCAAATGTGCCATTTTGTGAAGTCAACATACAAAAATAACTAGAGTGGCCAACAGTAGCGGTTTTTATGTACGAATCTGGGAACCGCATACTTCGGAGCAAACCTATTAGAAGACATATTTCGGTACGATTGGGGAATCTTGGTGTTCCTTTACCTTGAAATTTATAAATAAAAATCTTAATTAACTTGTCAATTTTAGCTTATATCTACTTTTGTTCTAAACACCACTACACGTGTACAGTTAAAATCAAAGAAAAATAATTTCATTACCCATAAAAAAACCCCTATTTTATGTAACCTATTTTGAAATTAAATTCATTAAAATTAATTTATTGTTATGTATTTTGTTTTTCTTTATTTTATTTTTATTTTTGTAGTTTTTCAGTGGTCTGGTCTATTACAAAACAAATGTCAAGGGTTTAATTGTTTTAAAACATATTATAGACTAACCGTATGTGTATATTTTGACTTTAAATTATCAATGCTGATATGTGACAATGGACGAGAGTAGGTAAGTAATGTGCTTAAACATTTTGAGTTAAGCTAAAGAAATTTTGGTTGAAAATACTCTTCCCTACACATCCGAACAAAATAGTTTAATATAGAAATTAAATAGAATATTAGTCGAAAGAACTTGATCATTGCTATTACAATCAAATTTGTCTAAAGAAATTGCGAGGAGAGGTAGTACTACCAGTCACTTTTCTAGAAAATCGTGTACCAATTATAAATTTATTATTTGGATGATAAATTATAATAGAGGCTTTGATTATATAATTATTTAGGCGTCTTTACCATAGTGACTGTTGGCACATTACTTGCACTACCAGTACACAACAACTTCTGAAGTAAAACGGTAATATATTGTATTTTGGGCAAGTAATGTTATTATTTCAAATTCATTTTTTACACTGCAATGGATAGAGTTTAATAAAATCACAAGTGGTTATGTGTATTAAATATCAATGAATGAAATTGTTTATTTTGTAATATATTGAATTAATTAACAGTTTAGCTACAAGTGCGACCTATAAATATTATTAAAGTAAAATAACAACAATAGGTGCAACATACTTTTTTAAAAGCTAGCTACGATTGATGGTCCACTTTAAGAGAACCAGTTCACTGTCTCAACCAAAACGCTGGTTAATTCGTCGTAATTATCCGTTGTCCTTACCGAAAAAATAGAGCCGAGAAAAGAAACGTATTGGAAGATGCGATGTTGTGTAGTTATCGTACAACTATTGCCCGCTTGATTTACAGTAGCGGTTTTTATATATGAATCGGAAAATCGCATACTTCGGAGCGAAGCTATTAGTAGACAAATTTCCTTAAAGTTGGGGAATTCTGGTCTTCCTCTATCTAAAAAATTATAAAAACATATTTTTTAGTCGAGTGTGCAACCACGAAAGAGCATATTCTTGTCTCGTCGAAGTACCGAATAAATTAAGAGTAGCGGTGAAATTAAAGATAAGGATATAGTATAATATTAACAAGCAGTAACAAGCTAGTATCTAAGGTGGCTAGTATATTAAAACATATCAAGTTTCTGGCTAATATTTTGGTTTTTAATATCTTGTTTTAAAAAATTCATAAAAATAAATCCTTTTAAATTAATTTTAGTTCAGTTCTGAAAACAACACAAGGCCTCATTCCCACCCCCCACCCATTCCCAAATCCACCCCAACGCCAATTCCCAACACCCATCCAACCCTCAATCCCATTCGTACCCCTTATCTCGTACCTTATCTCTTACCCCTATACCCTACCCCAATTTAAAGGGATATGTTGATACAGAATTCGTAAGTGACGTCAGTAATAAAAGATCTACCTTTGGGTAATTATTTAAAATATTTGGATAGACAATAGGATGATCTACAAGAAAGCGAACGTCGGTAATAATTTCTTAAACAGAAACCAATTATCAGCTGACCTTAGCGTCGGCTGTTCGAGAATATATGTGGATAAAAGAATTACTTGTTGAGATGTGTATAAATTATAAGTGTATTACTTGAATGGTACACCAAATAGAACATTTATAATTAAAAGTAAACTAGTACCAATTTACACAAAACATTAATATTTACCTATTGCTTCAAAAAATAATTTTTTTGTAACTTTTCCTAATATAAGTCTCCTCTCTTCTCCAAGCTGTACCAATGAATCATTCTCAAAATCTGTGAAAAAAAAATTAAAGCATTTACATTTTTTTTTTTTTTTTAATTGGTTTATTGGCTTTGAAACTAAGACCTTAGGACTATTTACATCAGTTATTAAATACTTGCTTACTTTCGTTCGGGCCAAGATTAGGCACAGGGATGGCTGTTTAAAAACAGTAAAAAACACACATTTCATCAATGTAAAAATGTATACATTGGCTAAAATTGTTTTGCAAAGGATTATTAAGACTTGTATCAAAAAAACATTTTAAAGTTCTATGACTTTGAACTATTATAATATAGTTTTCAAATTTGGTAAAAATAAAATATGTTAAACTCTATATTTACTTGTACACTGTGATATTGCTTCTTGCACTGCCTTCTGATCAGATATGGCAATATGCACTAAAATACAAAGTATACTATATAATATATTTTACTACGACAAAAATGTTTATATATTTTATATTGAGAAAAATTAAAAGTTCCCATGTTAATCAAATCAAAAAAAAAACACAAGCTACTTAAAAAACCGTATATATTAAACAAATAGGTTACTTGGTAAGTTCATAATAAATGGTTCATCTAAAGTTAAAAAAAAATTATGTTATTAAGCTATGTGGAAATATAACTATGTATATATTAATTATTTGCAAATAGTAAATTTGATGACATAACATGTACAAAAATGACATAAATGGCCTAAATAAGTGGATGCTCACTTACGAAACGTTAAGATTTTATATTGTTGTAATTTATAAAATATTAAGAATACCTATTTATTTGTTAGATTATATTTATAATTTTTTTTGAATAATTTTCGAGACCAGTATCTTTATAGACAACGTTTAATATTGCCAGAAAAATGAAAGAGAGTACAAATTTTTTTAACTATAATTTTTTCTATGAAAATTTAATATTTTTCATGTAAATTAAACGAAAAAACACGAGGTATTACTTAAATTTGAGCTAGAGATCTACAAGCTAATGGGTTTTTATTTGGGTAGACTACTATCGATTGAAAGTGTGAGCCATAGGGAAAAAAAAAACCCATTAATTATATCAGTATTTAGAATCTGCGTAACGAATGAGTAGTATAATACAATTAGTTACCATGAATAATTCTGAAAATGTTTACTTTTTCTGTAATTAAAACAAAAATATGTTATGCCCAAATTAGTTATGAAAAAATTTTAAGCCACTTTGTGGAAATACTGCCAATAAGTGATAAGAAATATTATTACCCGGTGTAGCCAACATCAAAATAATGGTCTCTGAAAAAGTAATAATATAAATTGATGAATTAATGATGTTGGGTTGTTTTTTATCACTACAATTTAAACACTTTTTTTTCGGGTAACAATCTATATATGAATTATTTTTTTAATTATATAATAATGATTACCTATCAATTTATTTCCGTTAATAATATTTAAAATTGCAGTTTCCAATCCAGCGGGATCTATAAGGAAATAGTATTAGAGATATATAATTAATTTCAAATGTCATCTATTAATGGATAAAATTATACATAAAAATCTTCAGAACAAGAATATACATTTTCAAAGTGACTATTTAACTAACGCTACTCAACCTGTAATGTTAAGGGGATTGCATGCTGTCAGTAATTTTGATGAATGAAATCAAAACCCAGACAAAATTTCGACTACTTAGTATGGCCCGATTTTAATTCTGTAGATACATACGTGTTCTTTGCAATTTTTTTTATGTTGTTTATTATTTAATAACTTGCAAATTCCATTTTTCTAACTACAAGAAACTGAAATTTTAAATAAAAAAAAAAAATTGTTCATAACAAAGTAATGTAGCCAAAAAACTCAAATATTTTTGATATACTGAAATTGGACCAACCTATGTTGTCGAAATTTTATCGGACTTTTTGGTCTAAAATAAACCAAAATGGCCGATACCCATAGAAAAAGTTATTTACATTAAGAATTATACCTTGGAGCTATATAAAGTTCCTGGTAAATAAATTTAAATGGCCGAAATTGATTAAAACCTCTCTTTTCCTTTAATATTGCGTATAAAAAACTCCGTTTAATTATAGGAATAGATTTTTTTAAATATAAAATAAATAATGTATTCGGTTTTCTTTTACAATTTAATATTTATACAGTATCACTTGGTATACTGGTACTATTTACCCCGTTCACTTATATTCTGAACTGATTTAAAAAAAAAAACTATAGCTTGTTTTTTATTTATCAATCATCTGAAAATAAAAAAAAATCTTACTTGTAGCATAAGCCTCTCTGATGTGTTTGTCTGTATTAAATTATTTCAAACTTATGTATAAAATTGATAAAATAAAATAAAAATGTTATTTCTTATGAAAATTTGGTACTGACTTGTTATGCTAACCAAATTTGCATATTCTCCTATGACGAAGAATTACATGTTAAATTTTCCATTCAGATTTTCAACTCTCTTGAAGAGGTACGAGTAAAAATTAAATAATTACCTGTCATTATCGGCGAAACGTTCACAAAAGCAATCGTTATTAAAATGCAAAGAAGCTTCATAATGCTGGACAATATAGTTGAAACAATTCAAATAATATAACGTATGAGAAAGGTATGAATTATAATAGCTTGTTTTACTTTTTGCGTTACAGTGATTTCCTTGCAACTAGTCGTAAGGCCGGTGTGTCGATATGTCAACCAAAGAAGTGAAATGAAAATATATCGTGCAGTATGCAAAGCACTATATTATTTCAGAAAAATTTAGTGCGACGATTGTATTACAAAGTAAATAACGTATACAGGGTAATTTTTTTATCGTGGGCAACTTTATTTCTCACTGTGTTAAATCAATAATTTAATAATTTTTTAATCCCATTGTTTTTGTATAATGTGATCGCAATTGTCCAAAATTTGTTATGTTCATACCCCTCCTTTAAATAAGATTTTATGATAGCGTTGTTATAAATAATTTTCCAAAACTGGTTATTAACCAGTCAATATTTTTACTACTTACATTGTTCTCTATTTGAAAAGTTAATAATAATTCTTTAAAAGCAACTTGGCCCAGTAAAAATAGTTGTTTTATATTATTCCTAATTAAAAAAATAATAAAATGTATGGGTTACCATTTAAGTGTCAATAGTTGTTATAAAATAATTTGTTTGGGATAGGGTAGGAACATAAATATTAAAGGAAAATTATAGTCACATTATATGAAAAAAACAATTAAATTATTAGTTCAACCCAGTGAGATATTGAGTGGCCCTTTATAAAAAAATCACCCTGTACATATCTGTTAAATTTTTTTACTTGTACTTTTTTTCTTTTACCTAGTATACACAGATGTTATACTGTGACGACTTTTAGTCGTTCTTAAAAGAAAATATATTAGATTTTTTATAAAATCCCGGGTACAATATTCCAACAATATCTACGTGTTACATAGTCATTTGTAAACGTCGTTTTTATACTTTAACAACACCTATCGTATCGGCTATGTGTAACCGTGAAAATTTAAAACCACTTGGAATACCCAACATTATATTTTTACACCGGCGTCACAAATAAATTCTTATTGAAAATCAGTTTTAACAGAAAAGCAAAAATGTTAAATATAATGTATGTTTTTCATCACACTACCATTCTGTATAGTAAATTTTCTAAAGGAATATATTTTAAAATTTGATAACATTTAACACTATTTCAATACAATTCCACTTATACAAATAATAATTACCTACTAATAATATTTATTATTATTACTCATGATAAGTCAAACCAATTATATTTATTAAAAACATTCAACATTTTGTGTAAAATATATAACATTTAATATATTTTTAATTAATATTGTTTGTACTACCACCTTATCATGATTTTTATAGGTATATTTTTAATATATTATAATAAACGTTATCATTAAATTATCGCTTCTCTGGATCACTCTTCCAATATATAATTCATTATTTATACTTATTTTAATATTAAAATTTGTACTTGCTAAGGTTTATACTCACAACTATCACAGTTTTACTATAGTTTCTAATAAAATTAGTCTTAATATTTTTTAGTGACACTACTGCCATAACATTTTTACTTGAAAGACTATAATAATTTAATGTTATCTTTTATAATATTTACTTGTTCTACACTACTTTCAAATTTTAATTACAAACAACTACACCGGCACACAAAAAAAATAAAGTAGAATGTGCATTTCACCGGACCTACCTACGGGTACGTATTTTGGTGCGCTGAATCCGAATTCAAGGTCAGTTTGACCCCTACACCCTCGAAATTTCGAGAAAACTTCGAAAAACCGCAAAAATGATGAAAATTGGCAGTTTTAATGATAAAAAAATTTTTTGGAACTAAACTAAGCGTGGTTTTCATGTATTTCGATCCGCTGAATATGAATCGAAACTTTATTGAGACCACGAGCCGTTTTAAATGTGAAAAAATCACACAAAACTCTCGAAAATTCCGAAAAATATAGTTTTCATGATAAAAAAAACTTCTTCTGGTCCAATTCAAATAAAATTTTATATCTTTTGATGTCTTCAATTCGCATCTTAATTTTTTTAGTCTATTCACCCTCTAGAGCTGGAAAAATTCAAAAAAATTGTAAAAAAGACCATTCATAACAGAAAAAAAATTGATTGAACATGATTTAATGCCTAAAATAAAAACTCTATAACGTAGATAAATCAAATAACTTGAAATCTGTGAAAAACACAAGACATAAAAAGATAGAAAGAAATGATTTTTACGAATCCTAAACTTTCCTTCGTTTGTATCGCACTCTTTTATCCTCAAATGATCTTCGTAGTGGATTCCTCTTTCGTTTACGATTTTCTTCGGGTACTTCTCTTTCTAACATCCAACAAAAATCTGCCATCATGTTAACACTCCAATTTCCTTGGTATCTACTCTCCATTTCACTGATGTCTTGGTGAAAACGTTCTCCCTGTTCTTCACTATAGTCTCCACAATTGTCAGGGAAGTGGTCGAGATGAGAATCTAAAAAGTGTAATTTGAGATTCATTAAACAACCCAAATTTTTGTAGTTTTCCAGCAATGCGTCAACTAAAGTGCTGTAATCCTCACTTTTGTTATTTCCCAAAAAGTTTTGTGAAACATTTTTGAAGCTTACCCAAGCTGCTTTTTCTGTATCGTTCATTGTTCCTTCAAAATTTGCATCCTGAAATAAAGATCGTATTTGGGGTCCATCAAAAATTCCCTCTTTCAATTTCGCATCACTTATTGCAGGGAACTTTCCTCTCAAGTACGCAAAACAATCACCATCTTTATTCAGAGCTTTCACGTACTGTTTTATGAGTCCCAACTTGATATGTAGTGGTGGCAGCAAATATTTGGAAGGCTGAATTAAGGGTGGTCGTATAACGTTATGGGAACCTG